ATGCCACAAGGCAAGTGGCAAAAAATTCCATTGAGAGTGAAGTGAGCAATTCCAAGTCCATTTGTAGAAGACACAGCCCAGCTAAGGAACTTGTTGCCACAACCCCTTTTCGGCTGCAATGAAATCTCCTTGTGGTAAACATTACCATTTTCATATGCATGAGGCAAGTTTTTACAGCCACCCATCCATAAATGAATAATCTCTGATCAGGAATGGAGTAGAATGAAAATGCACGGCTTCTGACAGAGCAATGCTGGAAGAGCTCCAAGCTTTGTGAAGTGAAATACAAAGCGGTTTCTTTTTATTTAAATGAAATTTCACAAGGTAAACTCTGACTGCTGTCATTTTTAAAAAACACCTAGTTTTCTATTTTATTTTGGACTTCAGAATAACTGATAATTTCAATCATGAATGTAACAGACTTCCAGAGACACATGCACAGAAAATCCTTCATTCATAAAGCCCTACGAGGTAATGGTATATGGATGTTTTTGTCACCGTGGCATAGGTTCTTGTCTAACCTATGTTGGTAGTGTTTTTAAGCCACTGTTATCTGACAGATGTGCAGACGATAAGATTCAGACCACAGCAAACTCAGAAGTCCAGGTTAAAAGCTCTTGAGCAATAGGTGGACACATAATAGAAATGGGAAGAGAAAGGTGCCATTATCCATGGACAGAGAGTTACTTAAAAACACCATTCTAAAATATCATTTTATTAAGGAGTCACACAGACTTTTTTTTAAAAAAAATTAAATCTAGCCTGTAGCAGCTATACAAAACAGCGTCTTTCATGTCTGCTATAAATTTGTTGTGCAACGTTCCCTTTGTAATAACATATAAAAACGTGCTATTCATTTGAACACATGGTGAATGTAAGGAAATTCCCCATTGATATGCGTTCTTAATATGGTACATTATATACCTCAGGCTGGAAGATGCAAAGCATAAAAGTTTGTTTCATAAACATATATTCTGTAATGTTTTGGAGGAGTTTTAAAGTAGCATGTTAAGGATTTATAAAGGCAGCTGATTTCTATCAAGTTAGTTAAATATATGTTAAATATGGTCTGATTTGTTATTCTAAATTGTCTTCTGATTTTAGAGCCCCATTGTCTTTTAGAACTATAACTTTAAAAGTCACATAGGCATGTGAATATGATTAAGTGCACTGCAGTTTTGCATTATAAATAATTGAAACAGGAAACTAAACATTGAAAGTCCAGTACACTGCACAGTATCTCAACTGTGGGTATATTGAATGAGATAACAATCCTTATTAAAAAATTACCAATACACATATTACAGGAGCAATAAGAACACATATCTGTATAATGTACAATATTGCTGGTATTTTGTATTAAATACCAAAGCCTTAGGAAATGTAATATAGAGAACAATCCTACCCTGATAGGAGGTGGTCTAAGGCCCTTACTTGTATGAATAAGGGACTGCTGGAATGGACCCTGGATGATATAATAATTGCTTTCCATTTCTGTTTCCTATGAATCTGCAGTTCCATAACCATCCACATGTCAGACTTTATCTTGCATAAAGGGAACTTTGCATCTACAACATCTGCAGGATTTGGATAATACACTTCTAATATCACACCTCTGCCAAATAATGGAATAAATTTTGTCTAGATTTATTCCCCATGCAGCTTCACTGAAGCCAATAGGTTTATGCACGGAGTAAGTTAGGACAGGTTTTGGCCTCAGATTCTCAAGACACACCAGTGCCACATTATCTGCTACCCTGGGGGAGAAAGGTTTTCTTTTAATTAAATTGACTCTAAAATAATTTGCCACCCATGCAGTATTTCATCTTATGTAACATTGAAAATCTGGAGTTTCTTTTAAGCACTGATTGGTTTATGTAGCACATGCTATGGATTCATTTATCCATATATGCACATATCTCTGAGAGCATATTGACTGAGTAACGCCGCTGCATCGTTCTTTGTCATCTTATTTTTAATTATTTACGAAAATATTTCATAGTCATTAAACATTGTATGAGTGAAGTCTGAGTAACATCAGACCTCATTACAGCACCAAGTATTTTATGAGAGTTGAGGCAGCAGCACCAGACTTTGTGTGCAGATTAAAACGTATGCAGATTGGCAAGCATTTTGCTTTTCAAATTAACCAAACCAATATATATACCTTCTTAAAACTATGCTTTCACAGTAGCACCGGTACAGGGTTACTTCAAACAAAACAATTGCATCATCTTTCTAACATTATCTGTGGAATACAATTATACATGGGAGAGAACATTGGAGATAGACTGGACAGGTATGGGTCTGGATTCTAACCTAATCCAAACTTTCCCAAAGCTTCTGGTATTTGGATTCAGAATATTGGTTTCACCCACAGTTGGAGGATCAGGTGCAGTCTATAGGCCAAAGCCCAAGGACTTACTTGGTCAAAAGTCCTATTGACTTCAGTAAGTGTTTTCAACTTCAGCACTTGGTGCTAAAGTAATTAGTTTGCTAAAATCTCCTTTTCTTTCTTGACCATATGACCACTCCAAGCTGATGTTTGTAATTTAGTTTTAACCAGTCATTGCCTGACCATGGATAAGATCCAGCATTTCAGAAAAACACATTTACAAAGAACCATTGAGCCTTGTAGAGCATACCATATGCAAATTACTTCTTTATACCACAGCTGTGCTCTGAATCTGAATGACTCTGATCCCCATTTTCACATTTTGTTCCAATGAATCTGCAGATCTAGATGGTGAACTGTCCTCATAATTTTGGACCTGAATCTTTCAGGGGTGTTCATGTTTTGGTGTCATTGATAATGCTGAAAAATAGTGCGATGGGGAAGAGAGTAGCACAGTAAAAAACTGAGCAAATTTCAAATTATTCTAATCCATGTGGTGGTTCTGAAATCCTTTTGTAGGGATGGGAGGGTTGCAAAGTTGAGATAAGTCAGGGGTAAACCATGCAATTTATGTGCAAACAGCAAGTATCAGAGGGTATGAAGCCCTAAGGGGGAGGAGGCACACTGCTTTCTGTTTGTTTAACCATATGCCCTCTGCAAAAGACAAATAAAACAAAACTAAGCAAAATTAGACAGAAACTATTAAACTATGACTCTACTTGTAAGCTATTCATAGATTCTAGGGCCAGAAGGGACCATATGATCATCTAGTCTGATCTCCTGTAGAGCACAGGCCATAGAATTTCCCCCAACATATTTCCTAGAGCATAGCTTTTAGAAAAGCATCCAATCTTAATTTAAAACTTGTCAGTGATGGAGAATCCACAAAGACCCTTGGTAAATTGTTTCAATGGCTAATTAACCTCACTGTCAAAAATACATGCCTTATTTCCAGTCTGAATTTGTCTTCCTGCAACTTCCAGCCATTGGATTGGATTGTATTTTTCTCTGCTGCAAGGAAGAGCCCTTTATTTAAATGTTTGTTTCCCATGGAGGTACTTATAGAGTGTAATCAAGTCACACCTTAATTGTTTATTTGTTAAACTAAATAGATTGATCTCCTCTGGTCTATCACTTTAAGGCAGGTTTTCTAATCCTTTAATCATTCTTGTGGCTCTTCTCTGAACCCGCTCCAATTTATCAACATCCTTCTTGAATTGTGAGCACCAGAACTGGATACAGTAATCCAGCAGCGGTCACATCAATGCCAAATGCAGTAGTAAAATAACCTCTCTACTCCTACTCGAGATTCCCTGGTTTATGAATTCCAGGATTGCATTAGCTCTTTTGGCCACAGTGTTCCACTGAGAGCTCATGTTCAGCTGATTATTCACCACCTCCAAATCTTTTTCAGAGTCTCTGTTTCCCAGGATATAGTCCCACATTCTACATTATTTGTTCTCAAGTGTATACACGTTCATTTAGTCATATTAAAATGCACAAGGTTTGCTTTTGCTCAGTTTACCATGCAATCCAGATCACTCTGAGTGACCTGTCCTCTTCATTATTTACCACTTCTGCAATTTTTCTGTCATCTGCAAACTTTATCAGGGATTATTTTGTTTTCTTTCAGGTCATTGCTAAAGATGTTAAATAGGGTAGGGCCACAAATCACTCCCTACAAGACCCCACTGGAAACAGATCAGCTCAATGATGATTCCCAATTTACAGTTACATTTTCAAACCTATCATTTAGTCAGTTTTTAATCCATTTAATGTGCACCATGTTAATTTTATATCACTCTAGTTTTTTGATCAAAATGTCACGTGGCACCAAGTCAAACTCCTTACAGAAGTCTATATATATTACATCAACACTATTACTGTTATCAACCAAACTTGTAAAAAAGATATCACGTTAGTTTGACAGGTTTTATTTTGCATAAACTCATGTTGATTTGCATTACTTACATTACTCTCCTTTAGTTCATTATTAGTTGAGTCCTGTATCAGCTGCTCTATTACTTTGCCCAGGACCAATGTCAGGCTGACAATCTTATAATTACCTGGATCATCCTGTTTACCTTTTAAAACAGTCTTCTGGAACTTCCCCAGTGCTCCAAGACTCATTGAAAATCAAAATTAATGGTTAAGTGAGCTCCTTAGCCAGCTCTTTTAAAACTCTTGGTGGCAAGTTATGTGGACTAGCTGATGTAAAATGTCTAACTTTAGTAGCTTCTGTTTAACATCCATCAGAGCTACTAGTGGAATGGAAAGAATGTAATCATCATATGATGAGACTGTATTATCTTTTTTCCCCCAAATATAGAACAGAAATATTATTGGTCACATCTGCCTTTTCTGCATTATTACTGATAATTCTACCATTTCCATCTAGCAATGAACCAATACCTTTGTCAGGATTCTTTTTGTCCCTAATATATTTTTTAAAACTCCTTCTTATTGTCCTTAACTCTGCTGGCCATAGATTTATCCTTGTGTCCCTTATCAATTTTCTACAATTCCTAACTTCTGATTTATATTAATTACTATCCATTTCCCCTTTCTTCCATTTATTATATTTTTGTTTAATTTTTTACAACAGGTCAGTTTTTTAATGAACACAACCTTCTTCGTCAGTTGTGGAATTGTGGCTTTTTGGGTATGTAGTAAGGTGTTCTTAAATGATTCCCAATTATCATTCACATTTTTCTGTTTAAATTCTTCCTCCCAGCTGATTTGGCTCATAATTGTTTTCAGCTTTGTGAAATTAAAGCATCAAGTACATATATTACTACTCTGGACTTTATTCTGCTTGCATATTATAAATGTAATCCAGTTATAAGCACTTGTACCCTCCCTAACATAACTATTAGTTCGGTGGTCAGTTCCTCTATGTGTGTTATCATAGAATCATAGAATATCAGGGTTGCAAGGGACCTCAGGAGGTCATCTAGTCCAACCACCTGCTCAAAGCAGGACCAATCCCCAATTTTTGCCCTGATCCCTAAATGGCCCCCTCAAAGATTGAACTCACAACCCTGGGTTTAGCAGGCCAATGCTCAAACCATTGAGTTATTTTTCCCCCTCATGACAAGGTCTCATATGGTATTCCCCAGTGCTGGCTGAAACACATTTTGAGTTAGGAAATTGTCATCTATAATGTTTAGACATTCCAAACTGTGCAAAGTCTAAAAGTGGCTTCCAGCCGTAGGTGCTGGAACTAGGTGTTTCAGCACCCCCTGGCTTGAAGTGGTTTCCATCATATACAGGGTTTATAGTTTGGTTCAATGGCTCTCAGCACTGTCACTATACAAATTGTTCCAGCACCTCTGCTTCCAGCTGAGACAAGCTCAGTGCAGCTCCTCCTGGTTTGGCCAAAAGGGAGAAGCCTTTCTTTTGAGATAGCTGATATACAGGGGATCAATCATTCCCCATTTTTTCCCTTTTACTATCATGGCTGAACTGCAAGTGTAGGTTTCACCTGGAACTGTATGTTATATATGCAATAAAGTAACAGCAGGGGTGAGTAGGGCAATTTAGACATCTAAGGACTGAATTTGGCAATTCAATCAAGTACTTAAACATCAATATAACTAAAATGGCATCTGTAAATAATTGCTGCTGCCTAAAGAGAGACTGAATTTTGCACACTGTTTCTAAGAGTCAGGATATGGACTACATGACCAAGCGGGTCTGCTTTTCTAAACGTCAGAAGCCCAACATCACACACAGAAAAGGAAGAAGGCCTAGTTTACACACATGGTTATTGTACTTAGATGAACATATTGGGTATTCGTGCATGCAAATGACGAATTAGGAGTTTTGCATGCAAGCACCTATTTTACATATGCATTTACAGTAACTGCATGCACAAATTAGGTGTATAATTTTGAGTGCATGTTTGTGTGTGACCTTGAGCTTCTGCTTTCCTGGTAAATCAGCCTCAGTATTTTTTTTTCACTTTAATCCATATGATTCCCAGTACTTCCTGGGTTCTCATCCTGCATGACCTTGTTTCCAAGGCTCTTTGACAACCTTGGATGAAAGATGACATTGAAGGGCAAAATACTGTTACTTATGTAACATATTCAAGGCAATGTCTTGATTACATCCCATGTAGCCTTATACCATAGTAATAGATATATTTATCAAATTATATTCTGAGCGTAATGTTCAAGGAATTTTTGATACTGGACCGAATTTATTAAAGCAGCCTCTAAAATTGCACTGACACAGGGTGACTGGACTCTTAAAGGAGCCAGTGCAACTGGACCAGTTACCTGTTGGGCAGTAGGGTTTAAGGGAAGACACCTAGGCCTTACAAAGGAGCAATGGCTGCAGGTGTTGACACTGCAGGGCCCTGAGTCAGCAGGGGGAAGGTACCAGTGGAGAAGGCCAAACTCCAGGCAAGAGGTGCTGGGCAAGCAGGAAGACAGAGCAGCAGGGAGGAAGGGCTGTACCTAGCTTAGAAATGGCACCGAAGAGTGTTAGAACTCTGAAGGGATGACAGACCCTCAGAGAGGAGCTGTACCCAGCTTGGAACAGGGACGAAGACTTCGTAAGTCTGAGTTTTCTTTTGAAAGACTTTTGTGCAGGACCTAATAAATTGGACCTCGGAAGGTGGAGGGTTTGACTGTATGGAATGGATTGTGTGGACTTTTCAAAGGACCCTGAGTGAAGGGGAAACTGAGGTAGGCCTCACCAGAGCCATGCTTGGCCAGCAAGGAGGATTACAAGATGGGCATGCCCTTGGACATGCACCCACAGTTTGTTGTATAGCAGCAATTCTAGTACAGAATTTTCTTGCCTATATTTATGTGTGCAACTGCATGCAGCAAACCGGTTGTCAGACATTTAACTACCTCTTTGGTGTATAGAATTGCTGTTTGTGTGCACAAAACCAAGTTTGTGTGTGCAACAAAAGCAGTGGGCATTTTCAAAGGCTATGTTGGGACCTCTTTCAACATTTAGCCTTGGCTGTGTTGTGTGAGGGGAGGGGTTAGGGTGTTTTTGTTTTTAGCTTCATGTTTATTAAATTTATACATGCAGGTAAGCGTAAAGACAAAAAAAATCTATCTGAATAGAAGGGGAACATTAAGTATGTTTACACTGTAACAGATACGATTGTTATAAACACAAGCAAATCACTAATAAAAAGAGTCCATCAAATTTAAAGACCTGACTCCTGTGATGCAGTGTGATACACCTAAGTGTAGGTGGTGGTTGTTTCAACATGTCCAGGCGGACTTTAAATCCTGCATGTGTCTTTTAACTAAGATGAGACTGAGTGGGAAAGTTAGGATCCTGGTCCACTTCTCCTATGTTCTAAGGTTTTGCTTTGGGTCTGTCTATCTCTACCACTGATTACGTAATCTGAAGACAAAACCATACTCCAGTCTCCTTTTTCTGAGACAACATGAGTTTCACTTTAATAGAGCAAGGGAAAAATTACTTGATTATTTGCTCATAGTCCAATATGCTAATTTTCCTCTATCCCCTTTTCACAATCCATTCACTTCATATGAGCCAGCCTCAAAGCTCAAGATGTATATTAGTGTAGTTAGAGAGAATTTAAACACTTTTTTTGCCTAAATCAGAAGAAAATACAAGCACTGCCCTTGACAGGGATCTCTCAGAGGGTATATGTATCAGACAGTAGGATATAGCCCTAAACTTCCAAAGACAAGAGAGGGCTTGCAGTGTTGCAATATTTACCTCTACAGTCCCACAGCAATAATGTTACCTTCCTCAGATATTCTCTTCCTCCCACCTCCACAGCTTTCTAATAACATACAAGACATTGTCATTTGTCCCACATTTGAAAGGGCTGGTGTCTTCTACTGGGAGGGAGTTCTGTGTACAGGAGCACTGTACATTAGGAGAACTTGTAGTACTCCAGCTGAAAGGGAAAGGACTAGAGCCAGTCAGGGAATGATTTTATTTCTTGTGAAAAATGTCAATGAACATTTTTTTCATTTTCACCTACATTTTTTCTTCCCCCCACCCCCAAAATGGGCACTTTTTGTGGAAACTTCCATTTTGTCAAAAAAAAAATTCTCACAAAAAATATTCCCATGGCAAAATTTTGACCAGCACTAGAAAGGCAGGGAAAAATAACTGGAGATGAAAGCAGGACTTTCACTGGCACATATGGCTCCCATGTTGTCTCAGGAGAGAATTGATGACAATTTGGGTCAACCGTGTTCACAGAATTTTTAGTAGTTTCAGCCAGATGTATCAATCTGGTCTCAGTGATATAGAATGGGATATACAGTAGGGATATACAATACAAAAATATTTTCCCCTCACCATGTTCCTTTTGCCTCTTTCTCCCACTGCAACTCCACACCTCTCATATCTACCTGGAGTATCCTCCTCCTCCTGTGAACTTAGTCACCTTCCCCCTCTCCTTCAAACCTCTCTTGAACACTCTCTCTCTTTCACTTACCCTTCTGCCACTGATTTACACTCAGGTTCAGCTACTCCCTTGCTAACAATGTAAAATAACTAAAACAAAGATGAGCAAAAAAGTCCCCCAAACCACCCTAGAAACATGACAGGCCACGTGTCTGTAATTAGATAGAAAAGAGCAAGCTAACAAAAATCTACAATCATGTTCTAAATCTTCTCTGCCTTCTTCTCGTTATATCTTTCTGCTCTCTGTGATTTTGATGATTGTGTCATTGTATTGTCTTTTAAAGTGTAAGTCCCCCAAAATAAAATGAGGGTGGGTTATTTTGTTTTGTTTTACAAGTCTCCCTTTCTGTAAGAACTTCTGCTTGGAGGTTTCTCCTTTGCTGGGTTCATTTCTAAATGAGAATTAGACAGAATGAGGAAAAGGAAGAAAGTTCACTTTCTCTTCCCTTTACATAGCAGAATGGTTGCTATTGGTGGGAAGAATCTTATTCATCATGTAAAAAGATTTAATCTCAGAGCCTTGCACACTCCCAAATTTTGGGAAGCAGGTCAAAATCTCCAAATCTGGAGCTAAATGTTGAAAATAGCTCGTATGTTTATACTAGGCAGCTCTGGCCCCAGCAGCAGCTCAACTCCCGGCCCCACCCACCATCCCCAGCCACAGTTCTGGCGCTAGCCATGGCTCTGCTCCCAGCCCTCAGCCCCAGCTCCGCTCCTGGCCCCACCCCTGGCTCCAGCTCCCAGCCCCAGCTCCTGACCGTGGCTTCCAGCTCTGGCCCCAGCCCAGCCCTGGCCCCAGCCCAGCTGTGCCCTCATTCCCTCTCTGCCCCCCAGGCAGTTCTAGTCCCAGCTCCTCCCCCATCCCCAGTTCTGTCCCCAGCTCCGCCTTCAGCCCAAGCTCCTCTGCTAAGCCAAGTGCAATAATTGGAGTGGGCGGGGGACAGAGACAGACAGATTCTTTTACTGGCAAAGGGGGGTGTGGCAGGACAAGTTTTGGCACCACTGTTCCAGAAGCTGCCAGAAACCAGCCAGAGCTGCAGTATGTATGTAGGTAGGTCTGGCATGTTTATATATCTTTAGTAAGCATGGCTGTTCGGGACTCAGCTGTGCCCCTGTGGTTTCCTCATGGTATTTTTCCAGTGTAAAGAGCAAAAAGACACAACACAAGGAAGTGGCAGGAGCATAGCCCTGGCATCCCACATTCTGGCTGCAAAGAAGTGTATGCTTCCCCCTCTCATGGGGTGCAACAGCAGCTGCATTCACCCAGTGTGGCAGACCACTCCAGGAGGCATGGTGCCTTCCTGAGCCACAATGTCGTGGTGCTCCCCTGAGGCAGCGCAGCAGTGTATCTGCTTAATGCAGGTCTGTAGCTTAATGCCCCAACAAAGCTCATTAATGCACCTGCATCAGTCAAGCCCAGCCAGAA